AATGGCATAGAAACAAAATAACGTCAACACGATAGGTCGTGAACCTCAACTCGTGTGCTAGTGATGATTGATAAGGTTTATTTGATTTGTTCTTGAAACCTTTCCAGACCATTAAGACTCCCACTAACTTCTTGACATATAAGATTCTCTTGTCATTAACCATTTCTTGACAAACAAATATTCAAGAGTTAGTGTAGCTTTTATCAAAACACTTCATAAATTGGTCCTAGTTGGTCTTTGTCTTATCCAATACATCACAACTCTCCACATTTGATGAATGTTATAAACCTTTAATACTTTTCACTCATTGTCACAATCTTAACTTTAAGACTTGTTATTGGAATGAATTATGATTGACTTTTGATTTAACCATTTCTTCAATTCTTGATTCCTCTACTTAGACATGCAATTGTACTAAGACTCACTTAGAGGATCAATTAAGATATGGTTCTTAATCATAAAGACATATCATAAAGCATAAAAGGTACTCTCCCTTCTTCTTAGAATGGAGAAACTTTTATCTTTCTGCCTACTTGATTCTTCTTATTCATTTTGCTATTGATTTAAACCTTTTTAATCAATTCGGAATTACACTTAATCTTGTAAGTATAATCACATTTACTAAACTTTTAGTAAATCATGATGAATATCTTGTTACTATTATGGTGGACTTTGATCAACATGCAACTTTGTGTACTCGATCTCCTAGTCCTTTCACTTGACACTTTGTCAACGAATTAGTTTAATTATCAAATATGAAATTTCTCATTCATCATGCAACCAAGTTGCGTGATTCCAAATTTCTGTCCAATTGAAACTTTGGGCGATGAGAAACTCTCCCTATTTGGTAAATTCTCGACATTTCCATAAATAACATAACTAAGAATCATATCCATTTGTTGTAGAAATATGCAAACATCAATTTTCATACGATTTCATTGCAAGGGAATAAACAAATAAATAAGTCAAACAAAAATTTATTTTATTTATAAAAGCAGCGGAAAAACATTTGTCCTTACAATGCAAAATCTATTGAAAACTACATAAAAGGAAAATTTCTAACAACTTTATCATAACTATCTAAGCTCAAAATCCAATCTTCAATTCCATGCGATCGAGATCCATCTCTTGTGGTTAGATTCATCTTGCTCTCTTATCAAGCTTCCTTTCTTTTCACCGATTCAAATGCAATCTTATCACATCATGTATTAAGAATCAATGAATAGAAACTTAATTAAGTTAGATAATGGATTTATCTGAAGCGTAGTCATACTTTTGACTCTCCCATCTCTTAGATCTCTTAGGTAATTAGGGCAACTTCGTCTCCAATGCCCCTTCTCTTGGCAATAAAAGCAAATTGACTCTTTTGGAACAACACATGGAACTACTTCAGACATCGCCTTTCTCTTATGATCAAACTTTTCGATCATTGCATGTCTTTAATTGCCATTGTCTATATCCATAGAGGTCTTGAAGGCAGATTCACCAATCAAATTTGCTTTTCTATTGCGCCAAACCATTGCTGATTCAGCAGCAATAAGCATATAGGTGAGATTAATAAGGGTTACGTCGTGGTTCATCATATAGTACTCTCTTACGAACTCACTATACGAGTTAGGAAGTGACTGAAGAACCCAATCAACATCCATCTCTTCACTGACAACAGATCCCATCATTCTTAGCCTATCAATGTGTGACTTCATCTCTAAGACGTGTGCACACACCGACTTTCCTTCTTTATGTTTACTTGCCAAAAGGGCTTGAGTGATATTGAACCTTTCAATTTTACAATCTTGTGGGTTAGGGAGAATAATTGGAGGATGAGGAGGAAGTGAAGCATGATTTCTTGTTCCTCGATCAAAATCGTGGAATATCATCTTCATGTGGAATGCTTGTTCCACGGGATTTGGGAAGACCATAGTTGTCGAACTTTGACATCTACAAAACAGGAGAAAAATGAATTCAAGTTAGTTGATAGATTGAGTCCTTAGTAAATCACCCAAATGAAATACTAAGGCTAGGACCCAACACAATACGCTACAACCTAGAAAAGGGATGCCGTAATCTAGTTGAAGAATATTTGAAGGTAAGTGAATAACGATTCACTAATTTCCACCATGAAAAACGAAAAATAAATTTAAGTTTTAAATCTATGAAAACTCCTAGATCCTTTGAGATTCATTGAACATTTCAATGGCATGTTTAAATCGCGATATGCCCCTCTTGTTTGTGACTGGGATGCCGAGGATCACAAAGCGGGTGTGAATAACCATGCAAACTACATGGTGCCCTCACATGTTACAATCACCTATTCGATGTGCCGGTAAACCATACACGCTCCACCGAACTATGACAAACATTGAGTCACCCTTTGCTACCTTTGCTTAGAACCATTTAGTGTGCCGGTAAACCACACACGCTCCACTAACGTCTTCGCAAGGGCACAAAGTGTAATTTCATGGAATTGCATCAATTCACTTTTGCCTAAGTAACTAAGATTGGGAATTTGAAAAACATTTAGTTACTTTGTATTTCATTATACTTATAATGGAAGGTTTCGTCCTATCCTACCCATTCAGCTAACGACCCTCCACTAGTCAAGAATGCGGTGGGTAAGAGTGGATACCCATTCAATCGCCATTTTATAGGCAATTTCCTTAAACACCCCTTATAGACCAGCTTCGTGAATGAGGCCTACTAACGGTAAGACTGACTTTTACTCATACATATATATAATGTTAGACTTTTAATGTTATATATATAGTATACCGGTGCATTTTATACTTTTAAAATACTATGTGGTTAACTTTAACAATTACACTTTTAATTTAATTAAATGGTTAACCCAAACTTTTATGGATTTATTAAATCTCTTTTAATTATACTCCTTAATTAATTAATAAAACCATAAGGGTGTATTTGAACTTTTCAAAACATTTCTAGGGTTTTAGAATTTAACATTCCTAATTAACTTTTAATCAACTTTTAAATTCCAAAACTTGAGGGCAAGTTTTGAAACATTTCAAAACATTAGGGTTACAACTATTTAAATTTCAAAACAACAAAACTTTTGGGTTCAAATTTAAACTATAAAACCTAAAGGGAAAAATATGAAACTTTTCATAACAACAAGGATCAAATAACAAATAATTTTAAATTAACATTTAATCACATAATTATCCATATTTGATTTATTTAATGATTTCTTGCAAAACAATTTATCAATTTACTCAAAATAATTAATCAATTATCTTATAAGGAAACAATTATCTTATTAATTGATAAATATCTTCATTTAGATCAAAAATATAGTCAAATATATCATATAATCGGATTAATATTGATCTAACATGACAAGGTAACTATCCATATGCAAAAACAGCAACAAATCCCGAGATAAGCATTATCTGACGAGTTGACTCGTCGAGTCAAGCCTGGACTCGTGGTGTCACCCTGGACTCGGCGAGTTCAGCTATGGACTCGGCGATCCAACCTCTAATACACCAAAAAAATGAATTTTTCAGATATACAATGCATCAATACAATTGAAATCATCCTAGGCTCTAATACCACTGATGGGTTTTGGTCATAATACATCCTATGTGCTCATACAAACCCTAATGCTTGGATCTAGGTTTCTCTATTGTACATGCTTTGAATCCAAGACTATAAACCCTAATTCTAGCATATGCAAATCAATATTAACATATAATTAGGTTTAAGAACATACCTTGATTGTTATAGAGTAATAACAATCCTAATTCCTCCTTGAATTGACTTTGGAATGCTTAGAGTCACAAGTGTCACTCCTCTAATGGCTTACAAACACCAAGAGCAAATGGAGAAGGTATAAAGAGAGAGGAGAGAGGTTAGAATTCATCCTTAGGACTCCACGAATTCATGAGCCAGGGGTGTTTATATAGGTGTAGAGATAGGGTTTCAGTCATTATCCTTATCTAGTTGCTTATCCACAAAGCAACCCATAAGATAATCCTTGAATCCTTATCATAGTCGAATTCTAAGGCCTTATCACCTTAAATTCGTTCACCTATATTTAAGATAATCCTTACCTTATTTTGTAACTATCACATAATTACAAATCAGCCCCTCTAGTTTAATTAATTACACTTGATCACAAAATTAATTCCTAATTAATTATTGACCAATATTAATTAAACAAATATGATTTCTCCTTTAATATATTATTCTTATAACATATTAATAAATCATAATAACCTTCTCTCTTTATTTATTTCTCCAATCAAGTTGCTTTGGTGAAGGCAACCCAAAAGGACCATGCACCATCGGGTCAAGTACATACCAAAATAGTTATGGACTTAGACACTAAT